GTATTACATACCTAAAGCATATTCTGTAAACACGTCCTGTCACAAGTCCGCTAAATCCGCTGGTCGGGGAATCGTGCTAAACCCAGCACACCAGCTTTTTTTTTTTTTTTTTTTTTGCCACAAACGACCCAAAGGCCACCTTCTAGTGCAAGAGCGAGCACCACAACGATAAAAGCGCAGACACGAGCGACACGAGCGACGGCGAAACGAAGGACGACGAAGAAGACTGGATATATAGTCTTCAGCGGACTGAAAGTGAGGAGCCCTATAATTTTAGTGTGATTGTAAAACGTGTGATAACATAAAAAATAAATGATTTGGCAAAGGCACCATAAACGAACCTACTACTCAATCGCCTAAATCCCACTTATAACTCGTTTAGGTGCGGCTATACAGACGACCAGTGTCATCTGTATTGGATCTTACAAGCTAATGTTTGGGTCCTGCCGTCTTTCGGAGCAAAAGTATTGTCTGAGGTGTGCATGACTCAGATTTCAGTGGGTTGTTTCTGAGTGTAACGTGGATCATTTTTACCTTACAAAAAGCAGCCTGCATCCATACCCCAGAACCAAAGTCAAAGTAATTGCAGTGATAACTTTAGCTAGGAAAGTTGGCTTTTAAATCGCTTTTTTTTTCTTTTACCAACAAAAGATGAAGTACTTAGATAGATAGCATAAAATTTTGCATGCAATGTATATTTTCTACTGGATTATGGTAACTTTTCACAGTGCAGTGCTAGAATCATGTGTAGCTGCTTAACTTCAACACACACGTCAGTGACGTCACAGTCTCGACTACGATTGGCCAAAATATCGGAGACAGAGGATTCCCGCAATATGGATTGCTTGCCGCTCGTCATGTCGCGTCATTTTGGAGCTTACCCCTTCAGCCGCAGGCCCTCGAATCGAATCGGCGCTGTTGCCTGTCACAATGGAGAGCCTCAGCACCAGCAGTCCGAGTGCGCAGCAGCAGCTCCGCTCGTTCATGGCACTTCCAGCGGACGATGAGATGGCGCAGCTGATCCTCGAGGTGACACTTTCCTGTATAATCCTGCAGCAATGCCAAATTGACAGACTAACCGGATGCCCGTATTGCACATTATGACAGGAGCTGTCATTCTCGAGGCGCTCATTCACGGGCGTAGCGGCTGAAATCGCCAACTCGCCGTCGAGCAAGTCGGCTTCGGGGCTCAACTCGATCTCGGAGGACGAGGAGGATGAGGAAGAATAGACGGAACGTGCTGCCAGACGCAGGCAATGGATAGAGAATCACGCGGCGGGGCGGCCCACGACTGCACCATCGCGTAGTCGCCGTCTCCGCGCGCACCCGAGCGGCACGTGCATGTATGGTGTACATCGAGCATAGCAGCAATAGGGTAGTCGTCAGCGTAGAGGACAGCGATTGCACCGCGCTATTTATTGGAAACATGGAGTCTGTTTAAGTTTCTGGTGGTGGTGAGAGCTGCATTAAAATCATGTCCATGCCTGGAGTTCTGGCGGTAGGGGGTGTAGCCATTAGTGATCATTGCGTTGCTCTTGTTGCACGCTCTAGTCGACAGCACCACCACCAACAGGCTGCTGTCCTCCAGCGTCATTGCTGCTTGACAAGCAACGTCATTGCATCCCGTCGGATGCGCAATAAATCAATTTCTTCAGCTCTCTTCCGGTTACAGATTCTGCACTTCTTGCGTATCTTGTACTTCAACTAGACTGTTAAAAACTGAGGATGGTATTCATCGTTAGCGTGAGGAGCTCGTTCTAAAAAAGTGGAGCGTCATAACGCCGCGTCATCGCTCCCCTCATCTCATTTAACCACCTCGGCGCGGAGGATCTTGCTGGAGGCGTCGTTGCTCTCGATCCAAGCAGAGACGTCCGCGGGCATGGGCGGGTTTGCTTCCTCGTCTGACTGCAGTGCCGGCAACTTGGCGACGATCTCCGCGGGGCTCAGGGCGCCCAGCACTGTGTTCTTCACTAGTACGATGGCGTTCACGAAGTCGCCCTTGGCGCCGTGGGTCACGAAGCGGTGTTCCACGTAGAAAGCACGCTTGTCCCAACAGATGAGTCGTGACCGCATCGTGTAGGCCTGCCCGAAGGACAGCTCGCGGCGGTAGCGCACGGTCTGCGAGCCTACCACGAGGTTGCCGCCTGCAGCAGTCACCACCTTCCACACGCCGTTGTGCTGTCGCGCCAATACACAGAGAGCACAGGATGAGTCTACTTCTTCTCCACTTCGTACCCGGACTGCACTCAAAAGCCAACTACTTGCGTACCTGCCACAGATCGCGTCGTCCAAAGCCACACTCACGCAAGAAGCGCGCGTTGTTACAGTGTCCATTGCGGTCGATATCCATGAGTCCAATGCGGCCTTCGACCTTGCTTACAGCAAATAAGTGCTTGCGAGGTCCACGAGGTGCAGGCATGATCGAGTTGAGCCCCATGCGCAGGAAATACCAGAAGTCACAGAAGGCGAAGCTTGAGAGCGCGCCAACGCCCAGCGCTGTGGCGCCGCTCGCTCCGCCCACAAAATAGGCCAAGGCAGACACGGCCGTCGGTGGTAGCGTCAGCAGCATGAACGCCAGCACCTTGCGAGACACCACCATGATAGGCGACGGCAATTTAGGAAGTGGTCCCGGCACAAAATGATGCACTAGTTGTCTATCATTTTGCAACAGCCAAATTATGTATGGTGTTTCGTACACTAAGTTTGAAGTTGGCGCCAACGTCGCTCATTGGCTGTAACTCCATTTGGTCTAAAAGGAGTGATGGAGACGCAGGCTCGCGCGCTGGAGGAGGAGGTGCGGCAGCTATGCGAGCAGGAGCAGACCAAGCAGACGACGCTGCTCAAGCAGCGACTGTATAGCCGGGTGGGCCAGTTCCTCATGGGCAGTCTGGACATGCGCCACTGGTGGTGCGGCTACTCGCCGCTTATGATCTTCATGATGCGCGTGCTGGAGCTATATCCGTCGTCTGAGAGCGTCTGCGTCTTTTACAAGAGGATGGAACAGCAGCTCGGCAGCTGTCGTAAATGGTGGAACACGCAGTCAGTGTTGTTATTCTATGCGGTGATAGGTACTTACATTTTTATTTATTTTACAGTGTGGATATCTATCACGCGTCCATGTCGAGCGTCCACGTGGAACTGGAGTATGAGTTCACGCCCGAGTCCATCAAGGCGTTCTTCGTCAAACTACAAGGTCTGGATGCTGATCGAATCCAGCGCCAGCTGACAGATAAGTCCATGTGCTTGGCCAGTGCTCGCGAGGAGACGTCGGAGGCTGTAGCCCTCACGCTGTACGAGGTGCTCACTCAACGACGACTGCTGTCAGACTTCCGTATTGTGCGGGTGTTATCGAAGGTGCAAGTGCTTAATTTAGTGAAATTGAACTATGGCAAAGTGCTAATCTTGTTTTTTTAGTGGGTTTCGTCTCGATTGGCCAATGTGAAAGAAAATCAAAGCTTGGAGAACCTTCGCGGCTGTGCTGGTCTGTATCAATTACTGGTGTCACCCGACTCTGCAGTGAGGTGCGTAACTCGTTTATTTTATTTAATCGTCATCATGCTTACCGAATCCTATATTTTTTAATTGAAGAGAATGGGCCCAGGGTATGGTAACGCACTTCGGCAAAATCCAGCTTACTGGCGATAATGGCGGAGACAAGTATTTCCTCGATGTGATGGAAGAGTGGATGTACGTACTGGAAAATGAAGCATTCAACAAACATGTGCTGTCGTTGGACCTGAGAACGACAGAAGATCTTCAGGATGTAAGTATTTCTGCGTCAATTAAACCGCTCCTTTCTATAATAACTAATACGCTGTCTACAATAGTTCTTCGAGCCGACAAATTGTGTCAAGACCCCAACCAAACAGAGACTGTGGTCTGCACTGGACCATGTCATGCAGGTAAAAATGAACTTTGCGTCATCATTATGAACATTGGCATAGTAACTCGATCTCTTATTATGGTATGCGTAGCAAATGGATGTTCACAGCCTGGAAACAATGCTAGACTCCTTCGACACGATCCCGGACTTAGTCTTCAACTTTCTGCAGGACGCAGACGCAGCAGGAGACCAGGCAATTACATTGGTGGTACGCAGCATACAGGCTTTGATACCCGTTCATGATCGTTTTATTCTCATCTGTGCTATCTTGTCCACTTCAGGTTTCTAAGTGTTTCGCAGTTCTCTTACGCTGTCTTGGGCATCGATTTTGGAATCACTGCGTGCACTCCCCAGCAATCGTGCTGGATGTGGTCATGCAACATTGCCGTCTCGAGTCATGGCGTGTGCATGTTACAAAACAGTTTATTGAGCTCTTGCCACCGCTGCTTGTGGCTATGCGGCCGCCTCAAATCTCTGTCCAAGCGGTATGCAGTTAATTTGGAATTTTGAGTGCAGCGTAGTTACTAACACTAACTTTTACACTTTTGCAGTCCAATCAAGATAAACTCGACTTTTATTTGAAGGCACGCAGCGAAATCTTACAATTTTTAATTATTGAGGATCAACGCCCAACGCATTTTAACGCAATTATCATGGTGGCAATGTCAAGAGCGGCATTTACCATTTTAAACGACTGCTATGAACACCGAATGTCCGGGTCCGTAAAAACGAAGCGTGGGAGTGGACGAGATGAAGGTGCGCTGTCGGAGTCAATTTCTATCGACTACTCAGTCTCTGAGAGCGCATTCTGGTGGCCGTGTGGATCGGGAGACAACAATGTGCAGTTGGGGAAGCTGTGGATGGATCACTTGTTTAACGTTGTGGTAAGACCGTCCAATGTCGAGTCACTTGTGGACTTGGCAGCAGAGACGACTGCTCTCATATTGAGCAAACATTTACAGCTGGCTCGCGATGTTGTATACTCGAGCATTGTTGCGAACAACGGTAAAGATTCAGCATCGGTTGACACTGTCACGAAGGGGAAGCCAATCATCACAGATCTACTGAGAAAACTATGCTCGTGGGGAACGGTCACAACAATTCCACTTCAAGTTCATGGGGCACTATTCGAGTCAATTGGAGGAATTTCTGAATTGCTGAACGGTGTCGAGGCTCAAATTAACTCCAGTGATCAGCTCAAACACATTGCGGATAATTTACGGATATACGAAGCCCAGACTCAGCAATATCTCCAGCGAATGTGCGATGAAGTGTTGTTAAAAGGCTTAGCCAACCCATTTGGCTTTCCTGTGGTGTCTCAACACATCAGTGCTTGCTATCTGAGTCCGACAAGTACTACAAATCAGCAAGTGAAGAGGTATATTTCGACTTGAGTCGAGCTCTGGTGGTCAAGTGCTAACTATGATTTTTGACAGGTTAATTGGAAAATATGCCGCCGACAAGAGAAACCCGACGCAAGTGCCTTCTCCGCTGGAAGCTCTTCTCATTTCTGTTCACCGAAATGCTGAAGCGTTCTTACGTGGCCAGCTGTCCATGCTCCAGTCGATGCGTCTCTATGGTTTCTCACATGCAGTCTGTTTGCCTGTCGTGAAGAAGCTGATTTTCGTATGGTCCCGAGTATTCGACATGTTGGGCAGTGATCTGGAGAAAGCTTTTCAAAAAGCATCGAATGCGAAAGCTGTGGCCATATCATTGCACCAAGTGACGGATACTGGTATCGCAGCTGCACATTTGCTGAAGCTTCCCAGCTTGATCAATGATTTTTTGATCGCACTATTGACAGCGCTGTTTGACCCGAAGACAAAACTTACAGTGGAGATCACGGAAGCAACACGAGTGCAATGTCTCGATTTCGGGATTTCGTTCTGGAAATTCTGGATGTCAGTATTGAAAGATCCGAGTGTGTCCAGCAAGCGTGTAACAGGGATTATTAGCCCGTTGGTTGAGTGTATAGCACGGGGATCATCGTCTGAGAATAAGCGAGCGGCTGAGTTGTTAATGACGGTGCTGGGATGCCTTTTGAAAGGTAGTACTCGACTGGATGAAGTCACGCTTTCTATGGTCGACAGTATAAAGGGCGAAGCAGCGGCAATCGAGTCCAAACAATCCACTGACTTTGGCCGTATGACCAAGAAGTTCCGTCAACTAGACCAAACCTCAAACTTCTTCACCAAGCGCTCGACAGAATCAAGTGGCATGAAGGATTTTGTAGACTTGACCTCACGATCGAAATCTAAACTCCCGCCGAAGTCTAGGGGCTCTGCAAGCATGTTCAGTTCTCGACCGATGAGCGGGAAGTCAGCGGCTAGAGCTCAAAGCAGCGCGTTGGTTGATCTCACTGGTATCGAAGAAGTATCGAATGAAGCAGCAGCTAGAAAGCAACACAGCTTCTACTCTGAAGAAGAGTACCGCTTACCCCCGAAGAGAGCACCTTCTCCCATGGAGCTGGCGTCGAAAGCAAAGACTCCATTTGATATGGCGCAAGTCATTAAGGGCATTTCACATTCGCACCCTGGATCAAACAAGACAGTTCAACCGAAGCGATTAACGCAGCAGACCAACGTGGAGGGGCAACCACAAGAGGAGGAGGAGGAAGAGGATACCGATATGCGCTTCGCCGCACTTTTCCATCGGATCAAAACGACACGAAAACCCATCGCAGTTTGCTCTCTGCTGCCATTTTATCGACAGTTGCTTCAAGTCTGCATGCCTGTTCTTTTGTCTGAAGAGTTCCAAAATGAGCGATCGGATAAGGAGCTACAAGCGCCTGGTTTAAGCTTCAAGAAAAGTGCTGAGTATGTCCGAGCTTTCCTGCCCCTGATGGTGGAAGAATGCAATAACGAAGTTCAAGAGGGACTTCGAAAATGCTCTTACGGTAATGGAGGGCACCTATTGCGCTATGAATCCGAAAAGCCTCGAGAAGGAATGCGATGCATTAGCTTCAGTATTGTCCAGAAAGATGAAGGATTGCTAGCAAGCTCCCAGTCAAAATTTGGTGGCAAGGGGCGAAGAGGCTTCAATGAGAAGCTGTTCAGAAACGGGGATGTAGTTCTTTTGCAAATTGCAGTGGGAAGTCAAAACCAGAGTGGATTTATGGGCAAACGCGAGTTTTTAGGAGTCATTTTGATCAGCGAGACGGAAAAGGGACGGAGGCAAACTTCCTCGACGAAAAAGAGCAGCAAGAACGAAGAAGAAGAATCCGTAAACGTTCTCTTCTTGAACGACGGGGAGCTGGACAATGCAACTGCGAGCGTACGCTCGTTTTCAACTGAAGTGCTGGCAGCCAGTGCAATCGCCGATACGGAATGGAAGGTGAATCCACTCTGTAATTTGGTCACGTCCACGCGTGAGTACACCGCGCTTCGGTCTGTTGATATGCTTCCCGAGCACTTGAGAACAGCTATCCTCACACCAGAAACATACAAGTCGACGCAGTCGGAGCTAATTACCATCACGTTTGTATTGGATGAGCTACGTGGGGACAAATCAAGCGAAAGTCACGGAAAGATCGTGAAGCTTCTCAAGCGCTTGGATAAAATGGACGTGATGCTGACAGATTTGAGGGTAAGACTCCACTGCAGTGTTAAGCTTTTGACGACATACTAACTTCTTGCTTGTAGTCTACCAGTATAGGAAAAGCTGTGAACAAGCTGCGCAAGCACGATGATGCAGAAATCAAGGCTCTTTCCAACAAACTGAAAAGAAAGTGGACTGACCTCATGGATAAGAAGGACACATTGGAGCGTTCTCCTCGCTTTCTGTCACCCGAACTTTGGGAAGCAATTAAGCCCCAGTACAACTCATCCCAGCTGCAGTCTATCCACAGTGTGCTGAATAATTACAGCATGGGTGTATCTCTGCTTCAAGGACCACCAGGAACAGGCAAAACGAAAACGATTATGGGTCTGCTAAGCGGATTGTTGTCATTACGGCTACCAGCTACTGCAGTGATGCCGATGGTAAGCCCCAAAACGAGCCCTAATGCTCAGAGCGGAGACTTCAAGAACTTTGAGGCTGCACGGTCTCGTCGGGTGAAGGTTGAACAACCCGGTGGGAAGGCACCATCGCCACAGGCTGCAACGACGACGTTTTCCTTGAGTGGAGTAACATCTGCACTTGGGAGTATCCTTCGCCGCTCTTCCGACTCTTCTTCTACCGGACCAAGTCGAACATCCATTCAGGCACTCAAGAACGCAGAGTCATCACGCAGTCGACTGGAGAGTAAGTTATCGTCTCGGACGCACCATTCAAGTTCAAACTTGGTGGTAAAGCGTCGTATTATCTCAAGAGCAGCGTCGGAGCGTTCAGCGAGTCGAACGAACAATATTCTTCTGTGTGCGCCATCCAACGGTGCAGTCAATGAACTGGTGTTGCGAATCGTTACTGACGGACTGATGGATAGCTCTGGGAAGGTTACCAAGGTCCGAGCGCCGAGTGTGCATCCAGAGGCTCTCACAGAAGAGTTCATCTCCATTGTTCGTCTTGGAAATGCGGGCGAGGACGCGTCAGAAATCGTTAATTCTGTGTGTTTGCCACACATTATCCGGCGAGAAATGGCCATCCATCCGAAGGCAATGCAGCTACACTCGCTCCAAGACACTCAGCGACAACTGCGCAGCTCCATCCGTGACTTTCACAACAAAGCAGAAGAGGATACTGGACAAAAGAAGGACCGAAAAGCTCTAGCCAAGATGCACCAACAGCTAACGGAATGCTCCGGTAAGATCCGACGCTTGCGCGATGAAGTGACTGCGATTCGAGCGAAAATGACGGAGACGATTTTGTCCAAGGCAAGCATCATTGCTTGCACGCTGTCAAAGGCTGGAAGTGGCGATTTCTCGGAACTAAAGCACGGCTTTGACGCCCTCATTATCGACGAAGCAGCACAGGCAGTGGAGCTCAGCACTCTTGTTCCTATCCGGGAGCGAGTAGCTCGCGTTGTTCTGGTCGGCGATCCAAAACAGCTGCCTGCTACAGTGAAAAGCGTTGTGGCAGCGAAGGCGCGATACGATCGGTCACTGTTTGAACGGATAGCGGAGAGTGGAGTGGCACCGTCGATGCTTCGAGTGCAGTACAGAATGCATCCTTTCCTACGGGACTTCCCGTCTAAGAGGTTTTACGGGGGAATGCTGACCGATGGACCTAGCGTGATGGAGCGAGTCCAGAAGGTCTGTCCTGGTGTATACGCACGGACAAGCTTTCAACCTTTCTTGCTGTACGATGTTGAGAATTCAAGGGAAGAAGACATGAGCGGATCCAAGTACAACCGTGTGGAGGCAGCATTCTGCGTCAGTTTGTGTCAGAATATGTTCGAAACCTGTGCAGACGTGCGTAACAACAAGTGGAGCGTTGGTTTCGTGTCGCCTTACAAGGAACAAGTGCGTGTACTTCGACAAGAGATCACGCGATCGGGAATCCCTGCGAGTGTTTCGATCGAAGTGAACACGGTGGATGGCTTCCAGGGCCGCGAAAAAGATGTGATTGTGTTTTCATGCGTGCGATCGTCTAAGCGCGGTGGAATTGGTTTCTTGCGTGATATCCGACGTCTTAACGTGGCCATCACGCGTGCACGGTTTTGTCTCTATTTGGTTGGCAACGTGAATACTTTAGTTCGTGATGAAACGTGGGCTGCTCTAGTCAAGAGTGCTCGTGATCGCAGACTAATCATTCGAGCAGAAGGGGAGCCATTCCCTACTGTGGCGAAGAGACTTGAAAGCGACAAATATCAAGAGTTAGCTGAACACTATAAGGCGATGCATGAAAAAGTGGCCCAAAAGTCTGCAGCTACGGCGAAGCCGATGAAGGAAAAGGTGATAAAGACTGAGACTATTAAGCCAGAGGTGGAGGCGATCCAAGAGGTGAAGAAGGAAATTGAAAGTGTGAAAACAAATGATGAAATGGGCAGTGAACATGAAGACAAGGAGAAGAAGACAAAAGAGCTCAATGGGTCCGAGGACAATAAAGTCTCCATCAAAGGTGAAGTACCCCTACAGAAGCCACCGACTGAGAGCCACAAAAGACCCGCGAAAGATTCTCCTAATGAAGCGAGTTTTAAGAAGCCTCGCATATCTGTGACGGCTCCACCCACTGAAGTGGATTTGCGAGGTCAATATGAGATCCGAAGCTTTCAAGACCGTAGCAAGTCTTCGACGCCGAACTCGCGTCGACATGATGGCTACCGTTCTCATGAGAGAGCTACTGATCAGCAGACAGACTCTTTTCGGAGGGATGGTGGACGCGCCAGAACCGACCAGCGTAGGACTGAGCACGATTCATCTAGGAGGGAGATTCGCCAAGGATTTCGCGACGACAGAGGCTCATACGACAGGGATCAGCGTAGGACTGAGTACGCGAATTCTTCACGTAGGGACGTCCGCCACGACAAGCTCAGCAGATCGCATGACCACAGACGCTTAGGGCGAGACGATAGAAGAACTGAAGGCACAAACCGACTGAGCAACCGATACCGCACAGATGATCGTCGTGACCGCGATAGCCGAAGCAGATACTCACCTTCGGAAGGGCGAAGCACCTCTCGATCTCCATCTGCTTCGGTTGTCGTACCGAAGTCAATCTCTGAGAAGGAATTCTGTCAAGCAAATGAGCCTCCTCCTCCGTCCAAGACAGACCGCGTGTGCTCCAGTACTCCGAGGATGACAGGTAAACGGCCGCATCTAGAGTCGAGGTATCCACCACCGCATCCTGATCGTCGCGATTGTGCCTCGTCAAGCAGAAGCAGCTATCGGACGGTGACGAATGAACCGAGCGCAAGCAGAAACCATGTCAAAACTCCTACTGGTAGGAGCACCAACGTGCTGGGGAACATCCTGGGCAGTGCTAAGAATCTAGCAAGGTCCACCTCACGTGTGAACGACAAAACCAATCCGCGTAGCTCCGAGTTCTCGTAACACAGGCGCAGTCTGCGCTCAGGAATACAAGTGTACATTACGCTATCATGTGCGTCCTGTGCGTTGGGCATCATAGAACAAATGGCCTCATTTTGTTTTAAGTTTTATAGGACTAAACGTAGCAACGCGGCGCCCACAGCCATGATGGTACCGGCAAAACCCACCGCGTACTGGAGCATGCGCTTCTCTACCTTCTCCATAGACAGTCGGAGCTCATTCAAAGTTTCGTCCTCCGCTTGCTTCTGCAGCAAAAACTTCTTCTCGAGCTCTGCAATCTCCATGCGGATCTTGTCGAAGTCGATCTTTTCCAGCATGCGAATATCCTGCTTCAGTGTGTTGAAGTCGCGCTCCAGCAGCTCTCGCGAATGGCGCTGTGCAATATCTATATAGCACCACAAGTGTTTACAGTCCATAAAATGCCAGCTCAATTTTCTCAGTAACCTCGTAGGCTTACCGAACTTGAGAGTGGAGTTGAAAACTCGCTCGGACAGTTCCGCCTTGAGTTCCACATGCTCGGATTTCGTGGCCAACTAGCAAACCAGAAACGTGCCAATTAGCACGCAGTAGTGATCTCAATCACAGAGCTGATGCAACACTTACGATGCGTGATTGGGCCTCCAATGAGTCGGCCATGGCATCTTTCATCACCTGCAGAATAGCTTCCGACTGATCTGGTGAGAAACCTGGCACAATAGCATTAGTACTCCAGTCAAGTCACCGGCGATACCAACACCTGCTCACACCTTTGTCTTGCAGACTCTTGACGACGTTGTGAGTGTCAAAATGAAGCGGCGTGTCGCTACTATCGGTAGTGAAGCAGCGACGACCAGCAGGGACAACCTGAATCGCTGAACAAGCCGCTGGGTGTGTTGACCTGATGCTGCCAAGCGAGGCTTTCACTGAATTATGTTTTGCGAGGGTCTGCGATGCCACGAGGCTCTGGAAGTGCTGCGGGAGTGCGGCGAGAACTTGCGCCCGCGGAACGGAAGCAACAGCGATCCCAGCTCGAGCGATCATCTTGCGTCTTGAGCTGTGAGTCACCGGAATCTGATTGGCAGATTAACGGCTTGCGCAAACGATATTGGGACCACAAGAAAGTGGTCCATGTGGACACTTTTGGCTATTGTATCCTAGTCCATGTGGATATTCTAGACTAAGTCTCTCATTTTTGTCTTCATTGTCACTCATAAGGAATTGTCTGTCACTGTATCGAGCGAGCGGAGCCACTGCCTCGACTGCCTTGGTAGAAATAGCGGCAACCGACACAGCAGGCTGAGCGTTCCCTACTGTCTTTCCTGAAGCTAAGCAGACCAGCCTACATTCGTCCCACACACCTCGATGCAAGCACGGCTTAATGGTAGCCAGACACCTCCTGGAAGTGACCGCCGGGGTTGAACTTGATCATGTAGTTAGGCGCCTCCTTCTCCAACTTGGTGGGCTCAACGTCCAGCTCACGCAGACCAGGAAGGTCTGACGTCTTGATCTCGTTCAGACTGAGACGCGTAGCCCAGTCGCGCGTGAACTTGGGGTCCGGGAACTGCTCGCAGAAGTAGCCAATGGCCTGAGCCACAGGCAGCGGCAGGTTGACCAGTCTCGAGTTCTGCTTAGTAATGTCGAACACGTAATCGGCCAGCTCCTTGTACGTGAACTCTTCGTCTCCGACGAATTCGAAGGTCTTGCCCTGAATGGTCTCGTCCTGCGTAATGTGGTAAATGGCCTTGGCCACGTCGTTCACGAACACAGGCTGGATGACAGCGTCGCCGTTGTCCACGACGGGGATGCCGCCGTAGCTGAGGCGGTTGCCCATCCAGACGAGAAGACGGTCCTCGGGGCCGAACATGTTGGACGGTCGCACGATGTTGGCCTCCGGGAAGGCCTTGCGGACAGCGACCTCGCCACGGAACTTGGAGGCGGCCCACTCAGACGGCGAGTTGGGCTGGGCCAGCAGCGACGAAACGTGAACCATGCGGGGCACGCTAGCCTCCTTGGCCACCTCGGCAATGGTACGAGCCACATCGACGTGAACATCATCGTACGTGTAGTTAATCCACCACGGAAGCATGTGCTTGGTCTGGTAGTGCTTGCCGACAAGGTTAATGACGATATCGGAGCCCTCCACAGCCTCAAAGATCGAGTCGCGGTCGCGTGGGTGGAACGGCTGCTGGGCCACGTTACCTAGATCGGCCGACACGCGCAGGTGTGCCACTTCGAGGTCGTCTCCGCGGTACGGCACCACGTATCCGTTGCCATTGATGCCTGGTAAAATTACAATATGTTAAAATAAAATAATTATCATGTGGATGGACCGCCGGGACAGCTTGAGTAAAGACGCACCCAGATGCGCACACACGTAGCGTCCCAGGAAACCCGTGGCGCCAAATACCGTGGCCGTGATGCCGTTGCCACGTACGCGCCCGACGGGGTGGCGCAGAGCCGCCTTGGCCACAGGAGAGAGCACCGACATGTTGAGTCTCGTTCCCAGTATCACGCTAGGTCGCCCCCGAACCGGCAATTGTGAGGCTGCGAAGGAGCGACCTTCAAGCGACATCTTCATCGACAAAAAAAGCATCAACAAAATACAAGCGACATCTGATTGATGATGGTACAGTGTACCTCATTTCTTTGCTAGGCCTTTTCTTAGCCCACGCGTGACACCATCATCCGATCAGGTGTGAATACTCCCTCGATATTTCACTGCGTCTTCAGCTCAGGACCAACCGAGCGCCGACAACATGAAGCTCGTGGGCAAGAAGGAGCAAGCCTACGCGTCGCTGGACATGGAGTCGCCGCATGCAGCTCCCGTACGTCGTAGCAGCCCCAACCTTTCCAGCGTGCAGCTGTCTCCCTCGGGTGCCTCCACGATCTCCATCAACTCAGAGCGTAGCAACGTTTTCAGCCGCGACGATGACTGCGGTCGACCTTATTACAATAACGTAGCCAACGATATCCTCGCGGCGCTGGACGGACCTGTACGGCAACTGGCGTTCGAGACCAAAGGCGCATTGCTTGCGACAGGGTGAGCAGAATACTGAAGTTGCACGCCATGGAAAAACCTGTATACTGATATTTCTCTGGTATGTTTGCGTCAATATTACAGATTGGCAGCCACGTTTTACTTGTTAGCTTGGTTTCAGGCGGTGCTGATCCCCTTTTTCCTTGCCATTTTTCTGATGTGAGTAGGCTGAAAGGCAGCATTTTTCTCGTGGATATGGAGTTGACATGTCTGAACTTGCTCTTTATTGCAGGTACCTAGTGGATCCACTAGTGGAGGTGATCGATGTATCACCCAAGTATTTCCTCTGCGTGTGCACATCGCGGGGTCGCCATGCTCGTCGGAAGTCTCGAGGTTGCTCGCGTGCGTTTGCGTCGCTCGTGGCGGTCAGCTTGGTGTGTGTTTTCTTCGGACTGCTGGGCTACATCACTGTGCTTTCGGTCCACGCACTGGATGCGAGCGCTTACCAGACTGGTTACAACCACTTGGTTTCAGGTGTGGAGCATATTCTCGACCAGATTGGACTCCCAGTGAACATTACGACAACGCTGCATGACAACGTTGACAAGGTGGCGCGCATAGTGGTCACGGAGACGATGGATCTGCTGTCCGTGATGTTTGTGACACTGATCTATCTCACGTATTTCCTATGCACACGCACTCGTGCAAGTGATGCGGGTGGTGTCTGGTCCAAGATCGACCACGATATCCAGCGGTTTGTGACGTTGAAGTGCTTCCTCTCACTGTTCGTGGCTCTGCTGGTGACGATCGTATACGTTTCGCTGAACGTTGGACTGGCCATTGTATGGGGCATACTAACGTTCATCTTGAACTGGATCCCCAACGTTGGCGCTATGATCGCGTCTGTTGCACCAATCTGCATTATTGCCATCACTCCGTCCGACCTGATGAACCCCATGGAAAAGTTCATGGCCATGTTTCTTCCGATGTGCTTTCACATGTTCGTGGGCAACTTCGTGGAGCCCAAGGTTTTCGGCAAAAAGCTCGAGATCGACCCGGTGATCGTGATCCTGTCGCTTTCGGCGTGGGGTCTTCTATGGGGCGTTGTGGGCATGATGCTGTCCGTACCGCTCACGGCCGCAGCCAAAATTATGCTCAGCCATCTCAAATTATGGCCCGAGTTTGTGGCGCTAGTAGAAGGAACGTACTTCACACGGTTCGGCAACAAGGCCGGCAGATATAAGAAGGAGGAGGACGATCAGAAGGATTTTGAAACTATGGAAGTGCGGACAGAAAGCGAAAAGGATCGTGCAAATGGCAGCCACATGCGGGCATAACAATTCTAAAAAAGGTAGCAGCATTTTTTCTCTATTATTTATTTATTTATTCTATCCTGCGTCTGCTGTAGTATGGAGCACTAACAAAATGCTAAGCGCAAGAGTAATTACCAACGTCGACTGGGGCCCTGCGGCGACAGAAGGATCACGCAGACATCTACACCTAACAGCAGCTTCATCTTCACCATACTCCTTTTTGCAACGTTGTTCGTCTACAATTTCGACAGGGTAGTCTTCGTAATTGGGTGGTTTGGCGGCTCGGTTGTCGTTGAGAAACATGAGTACGCCGTCACAGGTGTACTGTGAAGCGTTGCAAGGTACGTCGTTGAATCCTGGTGGCGTGTGTGCAGCTCCGCATTCTGAATCGGAGCAATACCAGTCAGACGTCGTGTTGTCCTGGCAAATGTACTGTTGGTCATTGCAGCCAGTCCATACTTTGTGTGGAACTACGGGGGAATTCGGAGAGCAAATCGTTTCTCGATTGTCAGGTAGAAGCAATCCGCAGTCCGAGAAAAGCTTCGGTGCCATGTTCAATGCAACACTTGCGCAAATCTTCACCGTCTTGGTGCTCGCATTGAAGAAGTGCGTGTCCAAAGGTGTTGTAAAATGTGTGGGCTCTTCGGGGTCGCATGCGTAGCAGAAGGCAAAAGACAGGAAGCGTTTGGCGGCGTTCTGGAACTTCTCGCACGCCGGTCCAGCTTCGATCAGTGCGAGGAATTTGCCGTTGATATCCGCATCATGTGCAGGCAGACAGCAGCTTTTAGTCTTGTACCAGTTGCAGAAGACAAGCGGCTGAACGTTCTGTACGTTTTATCATAGAACGTTTTCAGTTAGAATTGAAGCTATCTGTAGATGGATACACGACTGCTGTCTGCACTTGCCTTCTTAGGTGGGTCTTGCAGACACGCACATGTGCCATCCTCCGCGGTCACGACAGCTATCGCCAGGCCAGTGATGAGTAGATACACGGCGATGACTTGCAAGTCGCACATTACCGAGAGGACCAACCGGCCATTTTACGGTGCGCAAAGGTTAGTAGTGCAACCGACGGCGGTTCAAGCTAGTGTAGCCATTTCATGGCAAACGCTAAAAAAACATTCTGAAGTTGAAAAAAGAAAAAAAAAAATAAAGAAAATAAAACGCTTTCTCTCACATAAAATTATTCCTTACAGTCTCCCCCTTGTTAGCCGTTAAGAGACCTCCATTCAATAGTATAGAGGTTTTATGATTTGCAGGAAGGATTAGTGATGAAGCTGTAGAATACCTTATCATCTTTAAAGGGGTATAAGGAGGTATTGTGACGGGGAGCACTGAACTAGAAAAATAGAATAGTTAACCCATGATGGGAATAATCCGCACTGCCACCGGATACCCGTCATCATCAGAAATGTATCGGATTTTTGCTCGGGAATCAGTTTTTGACGAAATTTCCACCAATCATATCACACTGCGCCCCCTCTTCCGTCAAACTGGAGTCATCTTTCATCCGTCCACAGGCGACACACCCAGCCATGGCCAACCTCGCCTCTGACGACTACTATGAGAACCTGGGAGTGGCCCGTACCGCTACAGCGCAGGAGATTAAGACGGCGTACGTTGCAAGTCTGTACTCCCACGCAGGTCAAGTGACTAACATTCTTGTACTGCAGGTACCGCAAGCTTGCCATTAAGTACCATCCGGACAAGAACCCCGCGGACAAGCTCACGGCTGAAGCCAACTTTAAGATCGTGGGCGAGGCCTACAACGTCCTCTCGGATGATGGAACCCGGAAGATCTGTGAGTGCAGAGTGGCTATCTCTACCTCTGGAATATTTACTTACTGTTTTGCTGTGATATTTCCTTCTGCAGATGATATCTACGGCAAGGAAGGACTGGAGGACGGCGCAATGCCGATGACCAAAGAGCGCGCTATGGAGATTTTCGAGGAATTCTTTCGCTTCGGTGAAGCTATGGACCCGGATGCTCCCGACCGCTCCAAGGGTCTGAAGCGAGCGGCAGGTGGTGCAGTGTACGCACCCGCGAAGGGTCTTCTCTACGGTGGCAAATCCATTGTAGGAGGGATTGTGATGGGGTCGGCGGCTGTCGTAGCAGGCAAGTTTGGTTATGTGATGCTTGATACGGACGAGACGATCTAACGGCTTATGTGCGTTTTGCTACAGGTGCTGGTGCCATGGTAGTTAACGTTGCCTCGGGCATTAAAGAGATGGGCGAAGCCGGCGTCAACTCGGCACGTAAGCGCAAGGACAGCAAGCAGACTAGTGATAGTGAAACGGAAGTTCCTGTCGCTACTGCGGTTGACGGATCTACAGAAAATGGAGCTGGTGAGCAGAAGGGCGCGATAGAGATCGCCAACCAGAAGCCTACTCCTACCTTCATGGGAGGATTGAAGAAGGCGACTATTGGCGCTGTTGCTGCTCCTGTTGCGGTATGCTCGTGTGTTTGTGCTCTTTTGTGGGCATCGGAGATTGACAATTTCTTTTTTTTTTTAATTTTGCAGGCTATTGTGACTGGAGGTGGCGTCTTGCTTGCCAGTGGTGTAGCAGCAGGCGGATACGTGGTCGGTGGTTTCGCTGGCGCTGCTACGAATGTAGCAAGTGGAGTGCGCGAGGTGAAGGCAGCAAACAAGTTGGAGAAGAAACGTCGTGCTTCCAGTGCCGCGAGCACTCGTGACTCCTCCGCCTCCACAAAGAGCTCCCCTGCTTCGTCAGAGCCATCAGTAAAAGCGGTTCCAGTGGCTGAACCAACGATACCAGCACCTGCAACCCAGACCGCCTAGAGGATGATTGGCAAGTAGACCAGTTAGAGAGAGAGAGATAGTTCCATATCCATAGTAAACCTTGATTTAGTTACTTTCTGTTCATTTACCCCCCCCCCCCACTTTATCTAAAACCAAGGGCTTCTAAGCACGGATCAAGCCTGGGCCTCCGATTGAGCTGGCGTAGCACTCGAAACCCTTTGCTTCCAGCCGGGTAATTAACTTCGCCAAGTCTTCGTTACTCAAGCCGCGTGGCAATAGAGAGATCGTGCAGCCGCCTCCACCAGCACCAGTCAGCTTTGTAGATCCGTTAAACTGCTTGCAAATACGCGCCACCTCGTCGATTTGTGGATGCCCCACGCCGAGATCGCTTAGAATTTGTTGGTTGTGTTCAATTTCCTGACCAAGTACTTCCTCAGAAAGCACCTTCCGCTCACTGAGTGCCACGAACTTTTCGACAAGCTGCTGAATAGTATCAAATTGCTTCTGTACCTTTTCACGATCTGCTTCGTAGCGCTTACGGACATTTGCAACTTGTACTTTTGTGGAACGGGGCACGCGCGTATTAACCAGAAGAAAGCGGAATTTGTTCAGCGGGCACTGAATGCGATCGAACGAAGGCTCTGGGTGTTTCTGGAAGAGCAGGGTGCCACCAAAGCACGACACCGTATTGTCTGCACCTGAGGGTGATCCGTGTAGAATCACTTCAGCACCGAAGGCATATTCGTTGATGAAGTCCAGTTCGTGCTTTCGAGAGCTACCCGACAGCTCTGCGAAAGCTCCGGATAGAGCCACAGACATGGCTGCTGAAGAACCCAGACCCGCACCAATAGGCAGACCGCATGTTTCCACCTCCACATGAAGCCCTCCTTTAGAGCTGTACGTTTATAGCACACGAGTGAGTCTACAGTGAGCACACATCGTCAAATACACGAACAACAGGCCTACCCGCTCAGATATCCAGACGAACGGAGCAGAGCGCAGCACAGGAACAACGGGGCTCGCATAGTCTTGGCATCTTCGGGAGTTTCACCTTCCAACACACCGTCGATACGCGTCATTACCTCCTGCGATGGCGTCGGCACGTATTGGACCTCATCCTCGAGTCCGGCCACTACCTTCTGTAGCGCCGAAGTCGCGTACGTGCGCCGCAGCGGCTGCTTGTCACCCGTGGACTTGATGTCCTTGCATGAAAACTCGATCGAGGGCTCGATGCCTGCAGGTACGTGAATGCGGGTCTGCAGAGAGGAATAAAATGAGTTTATCGGATCAAGATTTCTTCAACTTCGACAGGAAGAGTGAATTTAACGTACAATCTCCGCCTTGATGCGCAGATCCGACAGCGCCGCTGCCACTACGGGACAGCCGTAGACCACAGCGTGTTCACCGAGCAGCAGCAGCTTCCCAGGCGCCGACACACGTACAACCTCGCGGTCTCCTCCCATGCCGATTTGGCAACTGCCTAATTTCTGCTGACACGAACGTTTGGTACAGTGTACCATTTTACCATCGCCACTAGTTTTTACGAGAAGAAGTCCCATTTCGCGGCAGTATTTACGCGTGTTTGGTCCGTGTTGAAGTGACTTTCACCTTGCGATCCTAAATTCTAACTCACATGCTACGATGATGCGCAGACTAGGATGCCAGAGTCGAGCCGTACATGGATGGAGGCCGAGGAGAAGGCTGCTGCCCAGGCACACAGTCGTGTTATGAACGCGTTGGGAGAGGTGGACGCCGCCAGCGCCGCCAAAGCATCGACTACCGAGCAGGTGGAGGCGGCTGACGTGACAACAGGCGCGGCGCTGTTCGATCTGTCGAGCTATACAGGAGGAGCGCCGTTGATTCCTATGGGAGACGGAGGCTCGTCGGTGGGCGTCGCGACGGACGCTTCTCATGCGATGTTCGACCAGGACGCGCTTATGGGTAAGGCCTCGGATGGAGATGAGAAGAAAATGGGTAGACCCAGTCACCCAGCCTGGCAGTACTTTATCCGAGGAGAAAAACGCAATCGCTTCCACCATAACGCGTACTGTAGATTCTGCAATGAGAACGGAGAGGAACCTCTTGCTGTGCGTGGAGTGTCGGGTAATATGATCCGACACCTGCAAAAATGCATTTACTGCCCTGCAGAGGTGGTGACACAGTTGAAGCTGCTGTGTGCGCAGAAAGATGCTGCGAGCTTTAACAAGAGACACCAGTCACAGACTCGTAGTGTCGATGTGCTGTTGCAGGAGACATCCCCTGCTTCAAAGAAGAAGTCGAGGCGAAATGAAGATCAAGGAGAGTCAAATGATTTACCGCTGCGGAACACACATCTACGAGGATCCGGAACACTTGTTGCTAAGTCGCAGGATACGACTGGAGTGGAGGATTTCATGCCTCTCCAGTTACCATTATTGTCTTCAGAGATGAACGGAGGACTCACGACGACCTTATCATCCTCCAAACCTCTGAGCTATGACGGAAATTTCTCTACTCCACAGAAATCAAGTAAGTCCGCAAAGCTTCGACATACGAAAAAGCTTGGGAAGATGCAGTCAAACGAGCTTCACTCTAGTCAACGTCCTACCAGTGAGACTGACGCAGAGAAGTTAAGCAAGCTGGTGATGTCGTCAACGCTCTCGATGGGCCTGCCTTGGGATTGGGTGTGGACAGAACAATCATCGCTAGTACTTGGCAATCAGAATTCGAAGATTGAGCCGCCGAGTGCTGAGCTGCTGTCAACGATGGGGACCGCTTCTCACGAGAAACAGATTATCATGATGAAAGACGAGCAAGTCGGTGTTACATTGGCTGTGAGCTGGTGGGCGTCTAAATATCCGAGATCGAACTTCGTTCTGCTCTCCCTTGTGAATGCACTTGGTGAAGCGACCGCGTGGGAATTAATCGACCTGGGAATTGGAGACGGCTCGCGTGACATTTTAGCTGAAAAGATCAAGGATAATTTGGTGGAGCTGCGCAGAAAGGGTATTCATGTGATCAATATTGTTGCCGAGACGACACTAACATACGCAGCTTCCCGTCTTGCTGTCAATTCGAGCGAGTGGACAAGTTTGGCCATCCCAGTGCTACCGTGCTTTTCACATTTACTGCAGATGTTACTGGGCGTCGTGCTGACCGGATCCGACAAATCGAAGGACATTATTGGCGAAGTGATCGAGCTTGTGCAAATATTTTCCAATCATCGCGTGCTGAAGGTGCTGCGACGCGAGTGCGGTGACCCAGATGCAGCGCTGCATGCACCCACACAGCGTAACTGGTATTCCTTCATCGAAGCTGTCGATTCTGTTCGGCAGTATGAAGACATGATCAAAATTATAGCTTCCAAGGTTGTTCGGGCGTCATCGGATTCGGCAGGAAGGGCTTTGAACAGACCAAGGACCGCCAATTCACGTAAAGACAGTGCTGGAAATACCATGGACGAGCTAGCTGAGTGCGGACTCTCAACTGCTACTATACGAACGATTCAGAACGCAGAGTTCTGGGAAAATGTTGTGACACTGAGCGAGCTGATGTCGCCAATCAAGGAAGCACACAAGATGATGAGCAGTACTTTCGCGTCATCGTTTTCGTTGTCTGACATTTTCTACCAATTCGGGAGAATGCACCAGCAGTATGGAGCTATCTTGTCTGACCGGGAAGATGCTGGTGGAGGTCGATCCATAGACCAAGTACGCGTTTTGCTTGCGAAAGTTGACGACATGTGGAAGTTGTATGATCAGCCGCTGATGGTGCTGGGATACACATTCAACTACACTCTACAGCTCCAGTTCCTTGCCCGCCATCAGGCTTCACTCCAGTGGCTCTCAATTGGGAAGTACGCGAAGCAATACTTTCGGGGTTGGTTCTGTGCAGCGTCGTCCACGCGGAACCCGTCGCGTTTGCTGGGTTTGAGTGACGAAGCTGCTGCTCAGTTTATGGAGGATATTCTGGCTTTCAAGGAACGAAAATATCCGTTCGATTCCGAGTCCATGTGCGAGTTTGACAACCCCAAGTTCTTCTATATGCTCGTGTCGGACTCGCATCCCTTGATGCACATGTTTGGGTCGAGGCTGTTCAGCTTTGTGACTAGTACGCCACCTCTAGGTGATGTGCACCCTGGAAAGTGTTTCATCCCGTCGGTACCTTCGACGACTTGTCCGCAGCAGACTTTGTTACCGCTGCTGCGAATGAAATTGTTCGCTCAAACAGCATTGCGACCATCTAAGGACTTACTCGGATTTGTTCAGAGCAACAGGACGAAGAGCGATACGGTAAATAATATGGTCAGTGGTAATTCGCGTTTGCACCACTCTGAATCGATGTCAGAAGCTGATGAAGCAAATTCACCATCTCTTCCGAGCTGTAGTTCAGCTGCACTCGATGGAATATGGAGCAAGAAACAATGGGAGGCATTGGCAAAAGAGTGGAAAGCACACTGGGAGAAGGAGAACAACCTGCTACAAACTTCGCGGGTTCTTGACTCTTTCACACAGGACCTAACACTGGACCAGATTTTTAAGGAAGCATTACCATCCAGGCTACCTCACGATCGAGAAGATGCTGTCGTGGACGTGTGATGTTCTATGCTTGGTGGGCTATTCGCCGAGATAGAGTTGGCGCTGTTGGATGGGGATGGCCATGAAAAGCTTGTCGAGCGTATCGGCATCCATGTCGCTGTTGCAAAGTGTTTCTAAGTCCGCGGTTTGGCTAGCCAAGTCTTCGAATCTAAAGGAAAAAAAACAAGGTCAGCATTTAAACGATACAACAGTGCAGTGTACACCTAAGGATGGAACGTACGATGCGTGGAGCTCGTCAATGCGTTTGTCTTTTCCTGAAATGCTGGTACGAATGGCGTCATACCTGTCAAGATTACAATCGTTAGGAAACGACCGTGATACTTCAGAATTTTAGCAGGTTGGTCTTCTGATGAGGTTGCGCACTTTTGGTGGTTTCTTTCGTTCTTTTTGGTGATCTTGTTCAACATCGCGACAGCCTGACGTTCTGCAGCATTCACTTGGAAATTGTTCCCGTGATCATTTAATTCATTTGCGGCAAGACTGACACCTTGTTGCGTTTCATCGTCTGTGGCTGGTTCAGTCTCTCGGGCTGAAGTATGTGGACTTCAACAATAAAGTAAATTGGCTGCACATACTATGCATATAGCTACAGATTTTACCTGCTCGGAGTATTGTTGGTGTCATCGTCACTACGGATCGACAGTGCGTTGGAATCTCGGCGTGAATTCGATCCTTGTGAGGAAGAAGCCTTCAAATGGGATGGTCTGACCGACCGAGGCAACTCGGCGCCTTTGCTTCCAGACGGCTTTGAGGGCTGCTGGACTTGAGAACCCGCAGTCGGAACGCTGGCTCGCCTGGGCATCTTTACAGAGACTTTTTACTAACCAAATAGCTATTGTAGCAGTGTTTGCAGTTTGCGAACATGAGATTTTTGGTTATAATTAGCTTCTGGCAGGGTCTTATTGTCCACAATTGCATGGGACGCCAGGACCAGCTACCATCTAGTAGTGGCCATCGAAGTGCAGAGTTGCCGCTATGAACCAGAGCGTAAAACCTCCAAAGATTTTGTTCGTTCGACCGAAGTCGGCTGGATCTGTTCGCACTTGTTCACAGTCTCGCACTTCTCTGACTCCAACCTCACAGACGAGTGCAGGGAAACCAGCTCCACAAACGCCATCGATCTCGCTAACTGGAACAATCCCACCGCAACCTGTTCGTCCTGTTAGCAATACAGCAAGGAGACCTTCAAGTGCTGTCGGATCGAGGCGGTGTTTCGCGCCGATTTCAATACCAACTCTACCTAAAACTGCACGTGAAGGGGAAAATGTGAAGAAATGCTTGTGGCAGGGAGACCCTCTTGGTCCAGAAGTCCCATCCGCGGTAGACGGTAGTATATACCACGTTATTGTTGCTCGGAAGGATGCAGAGGATACGGCACAGCAATTAGCGAGACGGATTTCACATTTCCGCGCTCAGGAAGAACGAGTGGTTCGTGAAATGCAAACCATGAGAACACGTCTCGAGACGAATCTAATGAAAACCCGAGAAGGATCAAACTTCCGCGTTGGTGTCCCTGGCCAGGTCCGTCAAATGTCCCGCTCGATGCATCTTCCAGGCCAGAACGCAACGTTTCTTCATCAAAATGTTTCCCAAGGTAATTCCAAACAAAAAGGAGGGTCAACATCTCCTAGTTACAAGCGAAAATTGAATGTACCCCGAAGCCGCGAACAGAGAGAGTTTCTCGCGGTAAGCACGACCGGTCTCTGGAGAATGCAATATCGACTGATGAACTATGCGTTGAAATTTGGTTGTATCTACAGAAACAGAAACGAGCGCTCGAGCAGCGCAAACTCGAGGTTGCTCGCCAACAAAGAGAGCGAGTGAAGGTAGGGTGTTTTTTTTTCCCTTAAACTAAGTTGTTGTTGAAAATTTCTTTAACCATTTTCCCTGTTTTTGGATCTGAAGCTCGCTTTAGCAGGGCAAAAAGCGAAGGAAGCAGATCAGGAATATAAGCGGCGGTGTCGGAATGAGCGCATACGAGCTGAAGAGCAGCAGGTGATCGAACTCCGGGTTGAAAAACAGGTACGTTTTTTCTACAGCGGTATTCCTTTGATTCGGACTGACAAGGGATCTGACTGAAGCGCCAACTTCGCGAGGCAGCAACAAAGCAGCACTACGAACGTTTGATGGCCGAAAAGAAACGACAGCACGAAGCACTGAACTTGGTTACACTAATGGAGGAGGAAGAGAGAAACTTGCGACTACGTCTTGAAGCACTTCACTTCCATCGTGAGTACATGGAGCAGGAGCTGTGCGGTGGTGTGCCTCCATTGGGCCACCAAGCGCCTGATCGATGACGTGCCTTGAGAGCACGCAATTGAACGCTTTGCGGGAGGTAACAGCCTCGCATGAAGGGCAACTACTAATACAGCTGCTGAGTGGGGAGGTCTCCCGGTCTGGGAGTCTCAGAGGATCAATTCCTTGACAGCATACTGTGCAGTACATGCAGTCTATTGGTCGTGCTGTCTTTTAACTGGCCTGACTGCATAGGCTTCGAAGGTGATAGTGTACGGAAGTACAAAGACCGAAGTATATAGAGAGGAGATGAAAGAACGAGTCATGGAAGAAGGAGGAGATCCACGTCGTAGTAATTCTCAATAGATGGATCTTTCCATCATGCATTTATTGTGCACGAAAACTTGGTGCTGCTGACAGCGCTATGATGCCATATACAATCACAGCAATCACGGGGGAGATGCTGTTGAATGTACCTACTGGCAAGGACTTGCGGCAAGTCACTGCAGCTCGACTCAAGTTCATGTATTCTATGTAATATGCTACAAATTGCAGCAAACCTTAATAGCTTCAACTTCAATTGATGTGAAGAAATGGTGGGAGCAACAAGTTATCTGCAACAATCCGTCCAGCGTTACCAAAGCGATAACGAAATACATGGTATCCACAACAACTTTTTTTTTTTTATTAAATACTGAAGTTGGCAACATGCCATGCGAATCGTTTCATTTCTTCTTAAACATTTAAACTGAATTGTAACTCATTCTCAGATTTCCGCCTCTTTTCGTTCACATCGAGCCGGAGTTGAGGTGGAGATGGGATCCTAATGCTACGTTTTGTATGGGTGGATGGGATAGTAGTCGCACTTGGCAAAGATTCCGGTCCTTTAGCGAGCTAACTAAATGGCAGAATCGTAGACGAACTCTAAGCCGAATGTGACGCGGCGACTGAAGCTGAGTCCTCCTAAATTGCCGCCATCACTTCATGACTTCTACTAAACTAGAAGCTCGTGCCGCTGTTAAGCAAGGCTTCCGCGTGTTTGCCGGTTAAAACATTACGGTAGCGCTCCAGCATTGTCTGATAAACGCCCAGTCTCCTATCGAGAACTTGATTTCACTAAGTGAGGACTGGTCTCTAACCTTACGTTTGGCGGTGCTGCAAGCCTCTCATCAAAGGGATTGGAAGCCGAGGTCTGCGAACGAAGCGGCTGGGTCACACGTGACGGGGATCCCGTTGCATCTGCACGTCCAGCGCCAGCTCGTTGACCTCGCTTCAGTATGTGAACCCGTGGCTGGTCCATGGTCACAGCTCCCTCCACGACCCGGTCACGCGAGTCGCTTCCGGTGCAGCAGAGCCATTCCACATTTTGCTAGCTGCCAGCTCGGTGAACCTGCTCAGCAGACCTCGTCCCAAGCAACGACACACCATGGAGAAGAGCGAACCAACCTTCTCGTGGGCGCCGCTGCTGGAGCGCATGATGCACCGCAAGCCCATGCAAGTTATCCAGGTACGGGTATATGAGATCGAGCACTACCCAGTCGTTCAACGTCCTAATCCAATACATTTTGACAGGCCGAAGAGAACTCGCAGGACTTGCCTCGATCGCTCAGTCTGTTCGATTTGATTTGTATTGGAATTGGTGGCACAGTCGGTAGCGGTATCTTTTCCACGGCTGCCTCGATCGTGAGCGACACTGCCGGTCCGTCAGCTGTGATCAGTTGGCTCATCGGTGGCGTGGTTTGTTGCATGAACGCTCTGGCCTACATGGAGCTCACTACACGTGTGCCCTCATCGGGTAGTACGTACGCATACGCCTATCACGCTATCGGTGAGGTGCCCGCTGTGGTCGCTGGCTGGCTGCTGACGCTGGAATACGCCGTGTCCGGTGCCGGTGTGGCTCGTAGTTGGGCACAGAAGGTCGAGGACTGGGTCGTGCACGAGAACCCGGACGCTAGCGTCCATTGGCTCAACCAAGAGTACGCCAACATTTTATCTGCCGTGATCCAGGGCTTATGTGTGGTCGTTCTGCTTGCTGGTCTCCGCTTCGGCAAGATGTTCGTCAACGGCTTCACTATCCTCAAGATGTTCGTCGTTATCTTCATCATCATTGCTGGCTTCTGTGCCATCGACTCGGATAACCTCAGTCCCTTCATCCCTCCACGTGCGGAGAACAGCTCGGGTGACATGGCCTACGGCACTCAAGGTATCATTACCGGTGCCACCCAGGCTTTCTTCGGCTACATTGGTTTCGATGAAGTCTGCTGTCTGGCTGCTGAGGCCAAGGACCCCAAGAAGGTCATGCCCATTGCCGTGTTGAGTGTTGTGACGGGCACTGCTATTCTCAGTGTCTTGTGTTCGCTCGTGTTGTCCGGTATGGTGCCATACTCTGAGGCTACAAGCTTCCCCGATGGATTTGCTGGTGTCGGCTGGGACTGGGCTTCTCAGATCGTGCGTGCCGGTGAGACTATTACCATGCCCGTGGTGGTGCTCATTGCCTTCCTGGCCCAACCGCGTCTCAACTACGCACTAGCTTGCGATGGTCTGATGCCCGAGATCTTTGCCAAGGTGGACGCCAAGGGCAACCTGTTCGTCAACACTCTTATCACTGGTATCTTCTTCACACTGGTGGCTTTCATCGTGCCGTTCGTGACGCTGTGGGATATCGTCAACTTCGGTATTTTGATCTCGTTCGTCATGTCCAACACGTCCCTCATGATGATCCGCATGTCGGAGCAGTCGCCAAGCACAGCACCAAAGTACATTGGCTCTGCAGTGGCGTTGGCGTTGATGACTGCGTTCTTCTATCAACAGGGCTACGTGACCCACGACTCGACAGTTTGCCTAGTGCTAGCTATCGTTTGTCTAGTCGCGACTGTGGCGATGACCATCATGCTTGCCATCAAATGCCCTCAGAGCGGCAACGACCCGCTTTATTTCTCGGCTCCGCTTGTGCCGTTCATCCCGATGATCTGCATCCTCGCCGACTTCTATCTGGTGGCTCAGATCCCCAATCTGGGTTTGATCCTCGGTGTCGCCTGGGTGCTGGTAGGCGTGCTTTCGTACTTCCTGTACGGCCAGCAACACGCTGCCAGCCGCAACGGCTGGGCCGAGTTGTTGCAGTATCACTTGCCCAGCGTTAACAGCGCGGGCGATGACAGCTATGTGGGTCTACGTCCTTCTCTCAACGAGGTGCGTCCTTCGATGAACTCGATGGTCAAGGAGAACTAGGCAGGGATAATTACATCCACGTATGATAAAAGAGCTCGGGTATACTTATGATTTCTTTTCTTGCTTGATCTGCTGCTTTACCATCCTACCAAAAAGCACTTAACGCTTCCGAAAATTGCTGACTTGTGGTCCGTTAATTAATGTCCGGCATAGCCGTCTCCGCTTCTCGACGCGATGTTAGCAATGCGACGCTCAATGCGTTCCTGCTGAGCACGGCGCGCTTGTGCAATAGCGTCCTTGATCAGAGTGGATGACTGGCGGTGCGTGTGGGCTAGTTTTTCGGCAGTGCGAGGCGATATGGGAGGTGTGCCGTCGAGTTCGTCATAGTCCTCAATTTCCATCGGACGAATCGGTGGTACAGTCTTCTTTTCGACAACCTCGTAGCTTTCATCACTCCCACTGCTGCCTGAGCTCTGCGGTGCAGTATATAAACGTGCTGGCTTCTCTTCTTCGTCCTCCTCTTCTTCCGCTGGGATTAAAGCAGCTTCTTTTTCTGCCTCCTCCTCCTCCTCGTCCGACTCCAGTCTCTCTTCTTCTGCTTCTTCATACAGGAACTCGCTCTCGTCAATGTGCTTCATGACCGAGTGGTTATCCGCTCCAGCAGCTAGTGCATTGTACTTCCGGTGCAGTCGCTGGAACAATAGCTCCTCGTTGAACTCGTACTTCTCCACTAAATCATCCACCTCGCGGAGCTTCTTCGGGTTGTGCTTTGTGTAAAACGCCACCAGTCGCTTCCTGTAAACATCAACACTAAATAAGCAACAGAACCACAACCAACTACCCTCTAAACTACCCACCGAAAACGTGCTTTGGCGTCGCCTTTGCCTCCGAACAGAATGATGCTCACGATGGCTCCGAAGCAGGCCACAGCGCCCACCAGGAACAGCTTCTTCTCGGCCTCCACGCTCAACCCCAGTAATGAGTCCTCGGCCAGCTGCAAACCCCATAGACTGAGCTGCAGTGCTGCTACTACCACGAGCACCCAAAACCAAGAAGGTCGGACGCTGGCCAGTCCGTAGCTCAGCAGAGTCAGCAGGCCGCGCAGCACGCGCACAGACGCATCGACGTCCGCACCATCCAGATCCGAGCCAACCATAGGCTGTAGCAGTAGCTGTGGTTGCACGTAGCACGCTACAGCCGCTGCCAGCAGCGCCACCTTTAGCCCATTTCCGAGCATTGTTGTTGCTTGATTTAGGATGATTTCTAAAGTGACGAGACAAATGCGTTGAAGCTGTTTTTATCCCCGCGGATTGGCCAATATTCTGCACTGCACATTTGACTGTGGCAACATGAGTCGGTTGCGGCAGCTGATGGTGCTGAGCCGCGACCTGGCGCGCTCCAAGCAGTTCTACCAGGAAGGACTGGGCTTGAAACTGCTGCGCTCGTCGGACACGTACGCAGAGTTCGACATTAAAGCGGGTGTGCCGCTCTGCATCAAGCTGGCGCAGAGGTTGGTGGCTGGAGTTACAATTATTCTGTACATTATCTTACTGTTGCAAATTATTGTTTGGCACAGTGAGGCTGCGTGCAGTAGTGGGTACTCGCCGTTCCTAAACTTCGACATCCCGGACCTGAGCGATGCCGTACCGCGATTGCTGATGCTTGGCGCGATAATGGACGGCCCTATCAAGTACCCGGCACACGGCAAGGTGAGCGGTTTGGCTGACTGGGCCAAAAGTAGATATCCACTGCTGACGATGGATTGTTGACATTGCATTGGTGGTCACTGCTGCAGGTGGCAGCATTGCGCTCCCCCGACGGAGTAATGATCGGCTTGTACGAGCCTAACTCATGGGACAATGTTACTTCAGCATGATATGGCGTTTTTGCCTGTGAATTGTACTTGTGAAGTATTGAATAGAGGGGTTGCCACCAGTGACTCCCCAGCAACGTAAAAACTTTGTTTTGTTTTCACAGCGTATTACTACACTGCCATGATTGCGGATTGTGCGCATGCTAAATTGCTTTGATACCTCCAAGAAGGTAAAAAAAAACTACGTTTCATGAGTAACTAATTGCCAGAGGGACGATACCTACGTCGTCGCACACAGTTTACTTCCAACGTTTTTGGAATGCAGAATTCGTGATGATCAGAGAGATAAAGCTGCGAGCACAGCACCAATGCCGAGCGTATTCCGAAACGATGCACGGGGTTTCTGTGGTGATTCTGCAAGACTAGAGGACCGGTTGCGGAGGTGGACTACATTATCGTAGGGTGTGAACGTAAGACGAACCGGAGCGGAATCACTGGCACCATGAAGCGCAGAGCCGACGTCACAAAGGTTAGCTCCGACCATACTTGAGCCGTCCACCGACCTCAGCACCATGCCCTTCCGTACACCGAGCAGTCTTGCCGGCCCAAGAACTTCGGACACTAGGATAGGTGACGGGGGCGGGGAAAAGTCGAGTACACAGGGAGACTGAGCATTTTGCAGCAGCTCCATCACTTCCTGAAAACTCTTCCCGCTAACGGAAACCTTGTTCACTCTGGTGAGCTCTTGACCTGGAGACACATCGCACCGCATGCCGGGTACGTCCTTGACAGCCACACCACCTTGAGGCATCTCGATGAACGTGATTCCTAGTCGCTGGTCCTTGGGCCAAACGAGTCGCATAGGCCCCTCCTCCTCTAAAAATCTGGACTTGGCACGCTGCAGCGTCACACACAAAGCACCGCCAGTATATGTGATGGTCGTCTCCTTCGGGCCGGTGGAGCTCTGTAGAGAAGCTGGCGGGGGCGGCAGCTTGGCGTTGAGCCCGTGCGGCGGCCGCTTGGAGCTGCGGAAGAAGCGCATCGTCTCAGTGTCGACTCGTCACGTGAGCTCTAGGTGAGCGTTTGCTAACTGGAAGGATGTCGCTCCCTCGCCACCGTAAGCGCGTCGAACAGGTGAAAGGGTCAGCTGTATGAAACTGGTTGGGTTGCCTGGGAGTTGCCAACGCTGAGCACTCACTCAAAGCCCCCAAACCTCCACTTCGGTAGCCCTATTGCCAGTAACAATTTGCTACGCGCGCCTGTCCCCAGGGCAGAATGAACCAAATGCTCGACAAAACAGCCTCATGTGCATCAGTTGTTGTCCCAACAACTCCACTACCGCAGACACTACGTGCACATTGACCGAGAACCTTGCAATAAGTACATGATGCACGTCGACCAATCAACTACTATTGGTAGGTATTGCCAATGGTATCATGATACCCACTTTGCCGTTGCATAGTGCACATCCACATGCAGGAAGCTCTGGTTTCATCGTGCCAATTTAACGCAATACAAAAATACCGATAAAACCATCATTCCGACATAATCAAATTCTCAATGACTTCTGGCATAAGTAAATTCGCTTCCGATCCAGCTAGAGTGGCAGCATGGGCAACGCGGTGAGTTGGCTGGCGCAATGCTTTTACCCGGAGGACCAGTTGTTCTGGGCAGCCGCGCGCTACGGTGACGCTCGCATCATTCGCTCGGCCACGTCGCGCCTCACACTCGAGACGCGCAAGTATCTAGAGTGGCAAGAACCGTACACGGGTCGCACAGCGCTACTGGAGGCTGCTGCCAAAGGCCATTGCGAATGTGCTCGACTACTGGTCGAGGCTGGGGCCAACTGCAATGCAAAAGACTTCAAGATGAACACGCCACTACATCTTGCATGCAAACGAGCACAGCCTGATATGGTCAAGTTCCTGCTGGAAGTGCCGGCGGTGAACCCGTTCGAGATCAATCTGTACATGAAGACCCCGCTGGACTTTGCCAGGAGCAGATTCGCAGACGAAGAGGAAGAAAAGGAAGCTCAACCATACGCCAAGTGCATCGAAATGTTGGAAAAGGTTCGAAATTGGCATGCAAAAATATTTAAATGGCGTGCTAATTGTTGAAATGATGCAGAAATTCTGTCTGTACAGTGGCTGGCTGTACACGAAGACCGACAATGTGCTGTCGCTGGTGTCAGGCATTACGTCATTAAATTCGTGGACGCGACGCTTGTGCATCGTATTGGAACGTGGGGAACCTGATGTACTAGAGTTGGCTCTTTTCAGCATGAAAGAAGGTGGCGGAGTGCGTCCTGTGTGCCCAACGTCAGTCATGTTGTACAATGTTGCAGCTGGAATGGAGGCCTCTAGTGATCCGAGATGGTTCAGCCGCAAAGACTTCACGTTTATTGTACGTGGCGATCAGCTAAGCAAGTGTCACTACAGAGCAAGCTCCGCTCTTCAGAATCCCGTGCACTTTGCTGCAATCAACCAGCAGAGTTTTGATGCGTGGAAGGACTTCTTTACTCACCAGCAACAGCAATTCGCTGAGCGATCCCACCGGAACAGCAATCTTCGTGAACAGTGGAGGTTGCCCGAGGCCAGTCACGATAATATAGCTGGATGGAATCCTCAGTCTGCGACGCCGTCAACCTTATCCCCAGATGAAGACGAAGATATTCGCAAAGCCCTTGAGCTTTCTCTTCAAACGGCAAGATGCGCTAGTGACGCAACACGCTCTCCGGTGCTGCCAGTATCAGCTCCGGACTGGGATGATTGGGAAGAATGCGAGTCGAGCGATAAGCAGATGTCTCCCGTGGCTGCTACGGAAACGAGAGAGCAAGAGAGTGCGTTGATGCCGTCAGCCTCCGAGCAAAAGCCACCTGCAGTCAACTACGGAGATACAACTGCACATTCATCTATCGGCGAGTGCGTGATCTGCTTTGACGGCCCGCAGTCTGCTGTATGTGTGCCCTGTGGCCACAATGCTGTCTGCATGAAGTGTGCTGAGGAGATACTCACCACCACCGCGGAATGCCCCGTATGCAGGACACCCATTCGCGAACTAATCAAGCTTTACCGTGTTTGACTGCATCGAGCACACATGGACTTCTGTAGCAACATCTTGCCAAAAAATAATTAATGTATTTCAAACTTCTTGCGCTTGCGTATTGCACTTCTGTTTAAACACGGTACAGTCGGATCACCTCTCTCACTTGCTGTCGGCATACAGGACAGAGCCGAGTGGTATCAAGAAGCTCTTGAGCGCAGTCCATGCAAACGGCGTTGTGGCCGCATGGGACGCAAACCGCTTCTTGAGGTCCATCAAAGCAGATCACACATTCGTTCGTGTGTTGGGTTACCGTGCTGTGTGCTGGGGCGCTCTTTACCGGTGGGGTCGACGTAGTAGCATCGTCGCGAAGCAGTTGCACAATCTCCACTCCATCCGGCCCCACCACTGTTTCAGAATAGCCCAGCGTTTCCAGCATCGTGTCCGAAGGAGGCGGGGCGGAAGGCGCTGACTGAGTTCGAGAGTGGCGACGCGCTTCCTCAAGGGATAATTTGAGAGCTCGCTCCAGATCGCGCTGCTCCTGTAGCATTGCAGCTTGAGTGGAACTGGCGCATTGTGCAGGGCTCGTCGCAGGTCGCGCTGGTACAGTCGATGGAGTGCCTCCAAACGCTGGTGTGATCGGGCTCACTGGACGGTTGACCTGGACAATATTGCTAAGTTAGAACTATGACCACGTTCCAAGCTTACGAATACCAACGTACTCGTAGACTGGTTAAAAACGTCTTCCACGCGACGAGTTCGCCCTGATTCGTAGTAGCGAAATCCATCGACTGGACAGCCGAAGCTCGACTGGTATCCTGTTTTCTAGAAACCTTCAGCGACAGACGGAAATCCTTCCGATTGAGCCACGTAGAGTCATCACTCTGCTGAATGCCATCGCTCGTTCTGTACAATAGCTCAGAGCTACAGCAAAATAATAAGAATAAATAAAGTTGTCGCCAAAAACCATAGTGATATCGAAGCGTACCTTGGAACTGGTGGGCGTCGCTCTCCAGGTTTCATTGGAAATAAGTCGATCTCAACGACATCTGGTGCTGCTGTCCGCAACACCATAGCATACCTGGATACCAATCAATAGGTTAGCGTCTACGCCTCTGCAAACATACAGCGGTCTCTATCATACCTCTTCTTCCACGAGTCCAGACCAGAAATTCCCGAAGCAATTGATAAAAAATTGTCGGCCCTTTCATACAGCCAACCCGAGTAAAGGCAGAGTTTCTTTCGACACAAAAGAAAATTAGATACCAACGTCGATCCATCCCATCCAGAAATCAATAATTACCTTTTCGATGTGCTCTACACACTGAATGTACGTCAGTCCTCGTCCCTCTGACGTTCTGTACGCCTGGCGCGCAATGTCCAGCGCGGTCTGCGCCTTGGTGGAAGTCTTCGCGAAATAGTCCACCGCTGGCACCTCCAGCAGAAGCCGCACCACCTCGCTCTTCCCGCAGGCTGTGGCTATATGTAGCGGTGTATTACCCTGTGAGTCGCGCGCATTGCAGTCCACGCCGTATGCGAGAAGCTCCTGCACACAGTGTAGATGGCCCTGCGAGCAAGCATTGGCCAGTGGCGAGTAGCCGTACACGGGGTCCCGCCACTCCGAATAGAAGCGCGTCTCGGGAGTCAGACGCGCTAACCCTTGTCGTAGCGCCGCCAGGTCACCGCTCTTGGCCACCACCCATAGTGCCTGCTCCTCTGGGCACAGAGACTGCGTCAGCCAACTCGTCGCGTTGCCCATGGTCTGGACTCGTCGGCTCCTTTTCCCAAATGGAACCGGTTCAACATAGAAATTCTATCACAGAATCAAGTTTTTTACTGTTAAATATGATATTTCTGATATTTCAGAGTTTTTTTATACGCTTTGTAACTGCAGCACCAAAACAAAATACACTGCAGAATGTTATTTATCAGGAATGTTTGTAGTAAGTATCCATGGCTAGAGGCTGTTGCTGTCTATTTGCAATGCGAACACCTCGTCGTAGACTTCGTTCGTGTTGAAGTCTTCGACCTTCAGTGTTGTACCCTGCAAAACCACAAGTTGCAGGTTCGGACAGGTAACGCTTGTAGTGTTTCGCATCAATTGGTCGCAGCTTCGGAGATTTAGGCGTCGCAGAGATGGCGAGCGGATGTACAGGTGCGTGAGGTTCTTGAGGAACGACAAATCCAAATCTACCACTCGCTCAAGGTCCAGCAGCACATACTGCAAACTGTCGTTACGCGAGAGATTGAGGGTCTCCAGCAGCTTGGACGTCACATGCACTCGATCAAGCTTCGGACAGCCACTGAGGTCAAGTCGACGCAGAGCGGGGACGTCTCCCGGGTCCACCAGCACCTGCTCAAGCTGCGAGCAGCCAGAAAGATTCAGCTCTTCCAAGACAGGAGACTTTTGTAGCATTTCTTTTATAAGGTATCGTGCATGAAGCGCTGTGAAACTTCGTGAGGACAGCGATAGCTTCTTGAGCTGGGGCAATTTCGTGTCTGCATGAAATCTGGTCACGGGGCAGTACTCGATAACCAAAGTTTCGACATTCGGCGCGATGATTGCCGGTTCTTGCAGCTGGTAGCATTGGCGAATGGCGATGTTAGTGAGCTTCTCAGCTACGAGGTGCACGTAGAATCCGCTAATGCAGTTCACCCTCGTCAGCACCAGCTTTCGCAGCTCTCCACTTCTGTTCAGCCACGGCATAAGCAACTTCATCGTCGGTGCCTCCTCTAGAATTGCATCCTGCACTCGCAGACACCACACATGCGGGAAAACCTTGGACATTTGTTCCATCACTTTAGAGTTGCTGATGTTGCTGGCCGTGAGCTCCCATGTGTTTCGTGGGATACTAGTGTAGAAGCTGCGGTTTAGTGCGCGCATGGAGCACAGCTCGAAACAGGTGAGCCATGAGCTCAAATGACTCAGCACGGTAGGCGCCTCGAGTGCCATGACTGAAAACTGTAGTACAAATCAAAATGATGAGCCATAAATTATTTTTGACCTTCACTCACTCAAAAGAATTCTTTCAAAAAAAAAAGTATTTTAGTTGTTTATCAATACACACAATCCTATTTGGAGTGATACCCCAAATAGTAATACCCTCCAGTTAATACTGAAAGGGTTAAAGGGTTAAAAGGGTTAACCCTTTCAGTACCAACGATGGTACAGCGAAATACGGGTCCATTTGGTCCTATACAATTTCCAATACCAAATATAATTGGCTTAAATACTTGATGAAGGTTGGGTTGATCAACTATAGAGGTTCACCTGCTAGAGGTCCACCAAGACCTGTTAATTTAAACGTAAGAGCGATATTTCTCCTAAAGAACCACCACAGCCTGTTTATAAATATAAAAAATCACCGACATATTCTGGTTATTTGGAACAAATTGTGTGAATTACTTATTCCGAATAAACGACACCAAAGCGGAAGACAAAATGGACAGCAAGATCGATTGGCTGGTAAGGTAAAACAACCAGATGCTTCTGGTCAAAGCTTCACGGTTGAGACGATGAGCACGAACCAATTCAAAAGGCGACGAAGAAGACACGCTGAAGGCCGATAACGTCCGACGCTGGCGATCCCTCGCACATCCCAATCATGCCGCCAAGGCTCCTTTGGGACGAAAGTTGTGGTTATTATTGACGTGGTGGTTATTGGACCCCTTAGAGACCTGTGTGAGAGCTTGTTGAAACGAGCAGCAGGCGTTAAAGACTCGGGGGCGCTCATTCCAGGCCATGGTGGCGCGTTAGGTCGTATCGACGCACTGCTGTTCGCGACGCTAGTGTCCTCACGCTGCTAGCCCATGGTGCATTGAATGGTGTCTTGTGGCGTGGGGGCTATCGAACTAGTTCATGTACGTAGTATGCGTAAATCATTCCACGTTGTGCAATATAGAAACTATCTCTCTTTCTCTCTCTCTCTCTCTCTCTCTCTCTCTCTCTCTCTCTCTCTCTCTCTCTCTCGTCTTCACTTCTGTACTAGCAGCCTAAAGTCAGAAGTCTACATGTAGACGTCGTCTCCGTTTGCTCAATGCTTTGAGTCCACTGCACGGGCCCAGTTCTGTTACGTTTACCATCCAGTGATCAGAAGTCGTTGGCGTTCCGAGAGACTCCACGTGCACTTATTTTATAATGCAGGTCGCATTTGAAGTCTCCTTCGTTTAGGAATAGCAGGTCCATCGTGAGAAGCATCGTCAGGAAGATCATCAGCGTCGTCTATAGATGCAGTGAATAGTGGAGAGTTTCAATGCGAAGCAATGGGCATCGTTGAATTGCACGATTTATCCATGTAATGATGATGATGTAAAGATAACAAAATATATTTCAAAATATAAAATCTTAGCTTTCCTCCTCCTCCTCAATACCTGCATCTCTCGCATCCATTTCGAGAAACCTTTTTGCCCATTTATTCTTGTCCTTGACAACTCGGTCTTTTAGGGAGATCATCGAGCGATTCAAAAGTATGAAACCACTCAACTTCAGCCATTTCTTCTTCGTTTTCATCAAAATGAGTGCTAACGATTCGAGAGATCTTGTATACTGAGGTAGCAGCTTTGGCAGTCTGAGATTCATCTGTGGCAGCGATGTTTGCTTTGTTCTTGCTGATTCCAGCTTTGTGTAGCGATCGGCTTGTGATCTTCTTGATGTCGCGCTTCAGTAGGTTGTCGAACAATTCAGTAAGCATTTCCCGAACTTCTAGGAGATCAACAGCATGACGGACACACACCACATAAACGACAGCAATTCTGGTCGCCTGGCAGTCGATGGTCATGCTCTTGAAGCGCTTTTGAACTAGAAGAGCCTCCTCGCAGAGCGACCTTGAATCGATGCGATGTACCTGAGCTGGTTAATGATCATGCTGGTTGTTTTAATAAGTTGCTCTTTCCTATATCGTGCCTTCAAACGGAGAGGAAGTGTTTTAAACACTTCGAATGTGTTTTCCCATTTTGTCTCGGCAGTCTCCTTCCCTTTTTGCATGAAGGTGTCGACGACGCAGTCAACGTGGAAAGTGGTGGTAATGGCGGGATGGTCGCTGCTTGGTATTGGGGTGACCCGGCTTTTGATATATATATTTTTTCGTAATTCTCTAGATCCCCTTTGCTAAGAGACTGTCAAAGACGGCCTCAATGGTGGTTTCAACATCGACGTGGTTGGCTGAGTTGACATTGTGTAATACACGTACGATGGCGCGCGCCGCTTCCTCGTTTACTGTCATTCCGTCGAAGCGATCGTGGGCGTGTAGTCCCCCATCACACAAGGACTTTGCTTGTGCACGACTCACGTGAACCATGGTAAGTGAAGTTATGTTCTCCAAATGAAGGAGATGGCCGAGGTAAAAGGAACTTTTTATAGTGGTACGTGCAATCTAAAAATGAGCAGCCGTTGCAGTTGAACAGATCTGTTCAACCCGAACGACTAAACTGCTTTTCTACAGTATTGCTAACACGTAGCATCCATTATTACTCTTCTTTTCTGTAATTTTGCGGTCGCTACACGTACCAATTATTATACTTCTTTTCTATATTATTTCCTTTGTCGCACGTAGCATCCATTCCTTTCAACCGTTGGGACTGGAGGTCACCCACAGCCACACAAGAAACACTTTGGAAACGGATTGCTGCTCGTTTTGAGCAATGCGGCCAATTCCGGGGAGGTTGCATGTGAGCTGGCCATTCGTGGTCATTGTGGTGCACCCTCTCAGCATGCGTCAGTGGTGCACTCCGTCACCTGCTCCATCGTGTTCCCCGGCGCTCTGACGATTCCAGAGATCCCCGGATCGCTCTACATCACGTCGTTTAGACTCCGATTCGAGCCCCAGAGCGCGTCGTTAAGAACCATTGGGGGGTTCTACAGACTACTTGACACTGCGCTTCGAGGCATGCCGCGAGCAGCGGTGGCCAGACCCTCGTACCCTCAAGCGACTGTATCAGCGTCGAGGTCCATCAACGCGTACACTCCTACGAGACTTGTGGTTAAATTCAAGGACTTACGCTCATGGACACTAGGCGGAGATGTGACGAGACTACTGCCAGCATTAAATCGACACGCTTATGTGGACACCCCCGCTGAATGTGTTCGCGTTTACGTCGATCGGAGCTGTAACGGGGTTACATGGGTGTGGCACACACATGGGTACGGAGTACCCGAAGAGTTAACAGACTCTCAGTACATGAATCGTAGAGTTAACAGTGGCCTTAGTACATAGGTTGAGGGCCACACGATATGCATTTGATTAGGTTTAACTATGCTAGATAGTCAAACATAGATAGCGGCTTGGCCGCAATATAAATAAATAAACACTTCTGGTTTTGAAGCATAAAAGTTATTTGTGTTCTTAATAACTTTTGAGCCCTGGTTCTTGGGCTGTAAGTTTCCTTCGGATAAGGAACTTAGTTTTAGGGACTCGTTGAGTCGTACGTCTTCCTCTGACGTTAGCTACGGCGGTCCCGTTGCAGGAGCGGTGCAGGAGGATCTCCAGGGTCACGCGCTCTATGATCTGTATGAGGATTTTGCCAGGATGGGAGTGGCACTGAGAGATGGTAGCAGTCCCTACCGAGTGACGGAGCTGAATGCCTCATTCTCCATGTGTCCGACATATCCTAGAGAGCTGGTAGTGCCAGCAGCCGCCACCGACTCAGAAGTAGGGTCTGTAGCCTCGTTCCGATCCAAAGGGAGACTACCGATCTGTAGTTATGATGTGCACAGCCCAAGCGCGGCATTCTACACACACAAAAACCCTCAGACGAGCAGTGTTTGCTTCATATCGCTCGAGCGGCATCTAGTTCGTATTCTGGATCACCGACACGTAGGATTTGGATCGCAGATTGCCGGCCAGAACTCAATGCACGCGTCAATAACTTGACCGGAGGTGGCACGGAGAGCGGGAACCTTGCACATGCGCGAGTGACTTTCTTGAATATCAGGAACATCCACGCTTTGCGTGAGAGTATTGAAGCTGTACGTGGACTAGGAGGCTTCACGGCTCCAACGAACAATACGGAGTCGATGGACCTCTCGTGGGGGTCACCTGTTGAAGCCACAAAGTGGCTCTCGCATGTGCGACGTGTGTCGGTGTTGCAGGAATGCTTTGGCAGTCAGTCATGAAGACTTGGCATAGTCTCTCACACAGCCATCACACAGTCTGTACCCAAATTTGGTGTAATGAAGTTACATCAAACTTTTCGAGCTTCGATACAAACCACGCATGATCTCCTGAGCTTATTTTGTATTCGATACGGCTACGACCAGGACCGCTTGAACATGAGACCCAACCTCCATCGATCACGGTTCTTCCACCTTCAGCTAATACGGTGTCGTAGCTGTAAGATGTGGAACCACGCTTTGGCGGCTCTTTCCCTACCGTACTGGTGGCTCATTCCCGACTGTACTGCAAGTGTATGTTTCGTTACCTAGTGCGTGGGAACGGATTGCTGCTCTCGGGCACGCGGCCGGTTCCTAGTGAGGTGAAGGTGCACGTGGGCTGCGGCCATTGTGGTGCAGCTTCGCCAACGTTGTGCCAGATGCGACGGTGTTCACAGAAAGCAGTACTTCAGCCTAAAGGTCGGAGACGTCAATGGCAATGCATTGTCCATAGACTTTGGCAGCGCTACGGCAAGTGCGATTCTGTATATGACGGGTAGCTCGAGCACACTCTCGTGCTTTTTTTCCTACGGTAGGGCCGAGCAGGTTAATGTGCTCTCTGAAACTACGGAATGGCCACACGAGCTTAACTGGATTCGGTAGCATTATAATGATGCATTGTACGGCGTGATTAAATGTATGATTGGGTTTACGTTGCGCTAGGTGGTTAATATCGCTGTGTGGGACGCTGCATTACAAGTAATGTTTGTGGAAGGCTAGAACTGCCTAGTGGTTGTTTCGACATGCGATGGTGTGCAAGTTAAACACACTATATACCTCTTCGCAACGTGTACTAACGATTACAAACAGCATCTATTGTAGGGCGTTACGAGCATCATGGACATTGAACGGGCTTAACCGCTGATGTAAAGTATTCTTTCTTGGGATTTTGCACGCGCACACACATAGGTCAAAAGCACACGGACATGTGAATTGGTTTCTCTTTGTGTGAATCACAACACAGTGTGGATTATTACGTTTGAATGTCATTCATGCGGGTCTAATCTGCGACCAACTAAAGTTTACGGGGTCAACGCGAAGAGCTGAGTGCGGATCATAGTTCGCACCTGGAAAAGCAGTCTACTGTACATCGTCGCAAGATCCAGGCCCGCATTCACCGTCCCATCGTAGTGGCTTGAGTGTAATAGCAAAATCGTGAACTTTGTCTGCAGATTCCGGGGCTGTGGTCACCGATTCTGTATCTGACTAACAAGTTCTTCGTGCAGATTCACTAGACGGTTGAGCTGTTCCTCTAGATTGTTGATCAGCATCATTTTCTCGCGGTGGTGCGATGTGATGAGGTTGGTCGTTTCTCGGTGGTGCGTCTCGACGAATTGAGTTTGTTCTGCGTGGAGCGAAGCCATAAGCTCTCCGATTCTCGTGTATTTGCGCTGGTTGTCTTCCGTAAGCCTTGTGATTGTGTGGTCTCGGTCTTTCAACTCGCTGCGTAGACGCTGGTTCTCAGCTTGGAGATCCTCAAGTGTAACCATTGCGTTGTCCACAAAGTGAAGGGAGAAAGGGAATGAGGCAAAAACAGCCAGTGGATTCATTTCCTGTTAAAACGCATAGTATCAAGTAATTCATTTGCGGATGTCATGACGTAATATTTGTGGTTTGTATGCTAGTCCTTTGTATGTGAATTGCCTAAAAGGGCACAGGTTCATTTTTGGGCAGTGAAAAGTTCCCATTTCAGATTTCATTTGGGGTTCGTATTCAATGGCCTAGAAAAAGTATAGTACATAGTGTAAGGTAGTTTAGAATAAATAGTATACAAGTGTTGGGTATCTTATGTGCGTCATTCAATCTATCAAGTGATGTCATCCAGAAGATGGTAGATCGGTGTATGTCATCTCTGAATTCAAACATTAATTCGTACGCCATTTTTGATTTTCCTGCAAGGCACGATGACCTCACACAACTGAAACTGTCGTCGGTTACCGCCGGATCACGGCTTGAGCTCATATTCCGCGGGATGGGAGGCGTTTTAACACTGTCCGTCGGGGGGG